AGAGCATCTATCTCTTCCAGGTGAATCTCACTTTCATGTCCCCCTGCAACTCCATTCTTTTTCCTGGTTTTTCCATTCCCCACTTTCTCCCACTGTCCAGACGTAGACAGCACACTCTTAACCTCTTGCATTCAATGAATGTCTTTACGTATTTTGTGGCACTAAAACATCCCATGGACACAGCCACTACTCACTTCTTTCTGATGTCTTTCTGTCTTCAGTGCCTTTGTATCCCCTGGGATGAATGCCTCTTCTTAAGCTAGGAATGTCAGTGCTTTCATTTCAAGTCTTTGTTCATTCATCCAGTTAGCAAGGCTGGGAAGAGAACCCGGGGCTTTTGTGCTGAGCAAGGTGCCCTACCACTGAGCTTCCAGGATGATTTCTACTTTTTTTTTATTGTGAAATAAAATTCTACTAAGCTTCCCAAATCGAGGCCAATCAAACATGGGATTTGTGATCTTTCTGTTTCGGTCCCCCTTATCTTTTGGACTGTAGGACTGTGCCTTCCCAACCCTGCTCGGGTCTTATAATATGGTCCCTCTGCTCACTTGGACTCCCTTCTCCTACCACATTTGCTTCTACAGGGCTGTGCCCCATCCCACCCACACCTGGTGTTTTAAGGATCTTGAAAATCATCTTTCCTGCTGACTTCCTGTTAGGGAAATGCAAAGAAGTTTCTATTCAAAAATATCACTTCTGTTGGTTTTCTCTTTGCTTTTAAAAATACTTAAAAGTCCACGCTGACAACTGCAAATGTATATACATAAATATCCACGTACATATGTGTATCTATATGTATGCACACACATATACACACAGCCTACACTCACAATTGAAAATATATGTACATAAATATCTATGTACATATGTGTATCTATCTGTATACATATATTCCTCTCTTTCCTTCCTACTCACTTCTTATACTATAATAGTCAGCCCTATGATGGAAATACAGAAATTTTTCTCACAAAAAAATCCTTCAAAGACCATAAAAAGTCACCCCTACTCACACTTCATCTCCAATAGCCAAAGTTACAAATCGAGTTCTGAAAGACTATACCATTGCACTTACCTAACATGGCCTGACACACAACTAATTGCTGGAGTGTTGGGGTGCACAGACGGTCACACACTTTTCCTTGCTGATTAGAAGGAAATCCTCTGAATCCAGCGGCAGGAAGCACAGGCTCTACTCTCAACTCCTTAAAACCTTGTCGACATAGTATTGTAGGGAAAGCATCAACACCTGCCCCTACCCTGTCTTCATTCTCTTCCCTCACAAGTTCCTGTGGTCGGAGTCCACAGTCTCAGAAATTTGACTTTTCAATTATTGCTCTATTGCATCTTGTTTATTATATTATTAGAGAGAATTTATCAGTCTGACTCTGAAAAAGAACTGTGATGAAGCTCTCTTTCTTTTGAAAATATACTTCTTTTCACCTCTATGTATTTAATCTTTAGATCTCGCTAAATAATGCCCTAGGCAAGCACTGAGACTCCTCAAACCTAGATGTCACACATGCAAAATAAACAGCAGTGGTAACACCTATGAGATCAGATAATAACGAGTGGAAAATATGTGTAATGACTGTCACATGACGGGACACAACTGATGGTCATGACCATCATGGAGTTAGCATGCATCTTTGCTTCTCAAACAATACCTAGTAGGTAGAACTGAAAATAGTTTCCATACTACCCAGGTTGTTTGTGACTGTTAGAGGCAGTGCCATTGGCAACTGGAGTCTGCTTTCCTTTGCCTGCGGGCAAAATGATCTACTTGCAGAGGATCCACTACCAAAGTGGGGCTGCACATGGTGCCATCGGATTTGGATGCTTTTGCGGATGGATCTGTGCCTCTGCTACATTCCCAACCGAGTATAATAAATTTGGGTTTTCTGTCAAACTTTTATTTCCCTCACCTACTCTGGACAAATGACGGCCGACAGTGTTCAGGGAAAAATATTCATGCACTTGTAGGCTGCTTTGTACACTTCGCAGATTGTGTTTATTCAGCTTTCTGACACGATAGCAAAGCCACTGAGATAAATTACAAAGGAAAGAAGAGCTCCTTTAGCTGGAAAGTTCTGAAGATTCTAGCCCATCATTAGCAGTTCCCGTTGCTTTGGGTGGACCAGCACACATTGACAGGAATGTATGACAGAGCGAAGTCACTTGGAGTAGAAGTAGGAAAGTGAGGGAGGAATGTACTGCGGGAGGTCTGAGAATCTGCTCTCAGAGAATGTCCTCACTGATCTAAGAATCTCCTGCTAGGCCTCACACCTCAGGGTTCCACCACCTCCCAGTGGTGTCATCCTAGCAACCAGGCCTTTAACGTGGAGCCACTGAGAGACAACCAAATATCCAAAAGACAAAAGGGCTATCCAAAGAACTTTTTGTAATCAAGGAGGAAAGGACAGAATATCCAACTTTTTATTAATTTTTTATTTATTTTTACATACCAAGCACAGTTTTTCCTCCCTCCTCGCCTTCCATTCCCTCCCCCCACCTCCTTTCTATCCCCGCTACCATCCATTCCTCAGAAAGGGTCAAGCCTCCAACCTTTGAGAGTCCAATGCTTTGAGAGTCAACAAAGCATGGCATATAAAGTTGAGGCAGGACCAAACTCCTTCTCCCTGCAACAAGACTGAGTGAGGCATCCCACCATAGGCAATAGGTTCCAAAAAGTCAGCTCATGCACCTGACAAATTCTGGGACAAATCCTGGTCCCATTGCTAGGGGCCCCACAAACAGACCAAGCTACCCAAGAGACCAATTTTTTTTTATATAACTGAGACCTACATGTGAAATAAGAAGCTATCATTTTATACGTATGGAATTGAAAGACGTCATGAGAAAACTGGAAAAGACAAGGTGTTGGTGAGGATATGCTCACAAAGTCAGGATGGTGACATAATTTGGTGATTGCATAAAAGAACCTGGGAATTCTCAACCAAATCGGGAGTACATTTTAATACACTCTTTGCCCAGCAGTCAGGCTCCTGGGTAATAGCACAGAAAAATTACCCACAGGTACCCAGTAAAAATCCTGTGGGAGGATTGTGGGTTAGACCCGAAATGTGTCCCCCACAGGCTTCGTGCTGCTTTGCTTTGGGGACATGGTGCCACCTTTAGGAGGTAGGTCTTACTGGGAAGAAGGGATGTCACTGGGAGAACGCCCTTGGATGTGGCATTGGGACCTGACCCCTCTCTCTGTTTACCAACCAGATAACTTATGCTAAACATATTCGCTGACGATGACGGCCTTGGTGACATGCTCTCCGTCTTGCCACAGGAGCCACGCCATGTGGCCATGTGACTACAGACTGAAAGGTCTGAAACTGTGCACCGGAATAAATCTTTCTTCCTTCGAAGTTGCTTTTCTTGGCTGTTTGTCACAGCAACTGAAAGCTGACGGGGAGAAGAACTCCTTGAAGTGTCCCTTACCACGCAAGGGGACTGCAAACAATTTAGCTGAGAAAACAGTGGTGTTTGCTGAGAAACATGGTGGAGAGACCCTACGTGCTTCTCAAAGCCCATTCTCTCAGGCAAAGGAGTGTGAAAATAACGCATCTGTTTGCTTACTATAACTACAGTCCCCACTTGCTGCAGATAATTTTTAAAATCTACAAAAGGAAAGGAAAAAAATACCACTTGTAACCCTACCATCTAGAAGCAAGTGACATTTGGATGCATCCACCTCCAGGATGTCTTTCTTTGCTGTTATAAAAATACAGTGCATCCTTAATATAAATGCATGCTTAATTCAAATAGTATGTCTTTCATACTCTGGAATCTGCTTCTGTCATATACAAAATATATTGGGAAAAGACTTTTCTCCTCCATCCGCCAAGGACCAAACAGGAAACAGATGGTACACTCAAAATAGGATGAGTCCAGAGGGGTTTATTCAGAAGGGACTGTTTACTAAAGTATGTGTGGGACGTAAAGTGGCCTGCATCCCGCTTTGTCTGAGATCATCCTAAGCCATATCTACTGCCTCGATATCACACCCAGTGTGATAGTTCCAATATCTCTATTTTAAATAAAGATTTGTGTGAATTCTTGCATTACAATCAAGTGGCATTGGTTTGGGAAATTAGGCTCCTAGCAGCTGCCATGGGATCCTTTCAAAGTGTATGTGATGGTTGTGCCTTAAGCCCATGGTAAAGTCTGGAAGAATATTAGTGGTGATAATGGTTACTCTCCCCTGTGATTTCTAGACCCAGTGATTCAGCATCTCCTGTCCTGGAGAGGATGGACAGGTAAACAAGCTGTTAGAGAAAGCATCTCCTAGCCTTAGGTTATAGCGGTGGACGCTCAGGTGTTCTGTGAGTATAAAATTACCCTTTTAGTTGTCATGATAAAAACAGACTCAGGAAGTGAGGGTTGACTGTAGTTCCCGGTTTGCAGGCACAGTCTGTCGTGACAGGGAGGGGCATGAGACAGCTGGTGACGCTGTGCCCAGTCAGGAAGCAGAGATAGATGGACGCCGTGCTTTGCTTACTGTCTCAGTCACGGTTAGCTGTGATGAGACACCATGACCAAAAGCGACCTGGGGAGGAAAGGGTTTATTTCACTCATGGTTCCACATAGCAGTTCATCATCAAAAGCAGTGAGGGCAGGAACTCAGGCAGGGCAGGAACCTGAAGGCAGAAGCTGATGCAGAGGCCATGAAGGAGTGCAGCCTCCTGGCTTGCACCTCATGACTTGCTCAGCCTGCTTTCGGACAGAAGCCAGGACTGCCAGCCAAGGCTGGCCCAATTCAGAATGGCCTGGGTTCTCCCCAGTCAATCACTAATTAAGAAAATGCCATACAGGCTTGCCCACAGCCAGATGTTAATGGAGACATTTCCTCGGCTGAGGTTCCCTCCTCTCCGGTGACTCTAACTTATGTCAAGCTGACATAAAACCAGCCAGCGCACTCACTTTCTCTCTTTTACTTAACCTAGGACCCCAGCCTATGGAATGGTACCACCGCATTTAGGATGGGTCTTCTCACCTCAGTTAATCCAGTCTCGAACTCCCTCAGAGACAGGCCCAGAGACTGTCGCCTAGGTGACTTTAGATGCTGTCAAGTTAGCAATCAGCATTAACTCTTTAAGACCCTTTGTAAATTGAAAAGATGTAAGTTAAAAATTCATTTAACACACTCAACCCACCAAATAGCACAGCACATTGGCACACTGGAGAGCATTCACTGTTTGCCCACACAGTTGCCTGAACCCCTGAGGACCTGTAGCTACTTTCTGTTAAGTTTCAGGAGACAGTATTATAGTACAGAGCATGAGCCCAGGAAAACATCAAACTTCAAAACCTGAAATACCATTTCTACTAAATTCCCTTTAGTTTCACCATGTTAAAAAAAATGAAACAAAAACGAACATTCAAAACCTTAGAAGTGACGTCACCATTAAGTTCGGCACCATCTCCTCTCGGTTCCATTGTCGCTGATAACCACTTGTGTCTGTAGTCAGCTGGCAGTGGGTGAACGAAAGCTAAGAAATGCTCAGAGCTATCAGGAGAGGAGCAATGCCTTGGAGGATGGGGAATTATGGGCTAGATATGCTTAAAACATATACAGGAGATGCACATTGAAGCCATACAGCAAAACATACCACAGTAGCATTTTGTCACTTGCTCTTCTGTTTTGCAAAATAAGCTGCAATTCATTCCTGTTATTGTTCTTTTGTAAAAGTTGATTTTCTAAGAAATTCTTCCCACAGTCCAATAGCCATGAATTCTAAAAACGAAAAGGAAAAGAAACGAAGTGCACGTTTAATGAAAATTTACTAAATTTTCATTTCTCTAGAAACCTGATGAATATGTAATTGGTGCAAAATTTTCGCCAGTGTTTCCTATCCAGCACAGGGAGTAAAATGTAAAGAAAGAGGCGTCTGCTGGGAGGAAAGCTGCAGCATTCATTTCATTAGAGAGCAATTGTGACAGACCGGGACCCCTAACAATAATTTTACATATGCAGATCTCCATATCAAGGAACTCTGACCTTTCATTTATATCAAATGAGTTCCTAAATGAAAACAGTTAAAAACACAAAAGGATGCTAGCCAGCTTGTTGGTTTCAACAGTGAGAAAAGGAATATGACAAACAGTTCCAGTTTTATATCAATGTTTACAAGTGACTGAAACACAAAACTGGCTATCTGTATTTCAGAACCAAGCCTCGATTTTAAATTCAGTTCATGGAAAAAGACAAAAGTGGTTTTTTTTTAAATTGATTTTTATTGAGCTCTACATTTTTCTCTGCTTCCCTCCCTGCCTCTCCCCTCCGCACTTCCACCCTCCCCCAAGGTCTCCATGCTCCCAATTCACTCAGGAGATCTAAGACAAAAGTTTTTAACATGATATAAATCAGGAAAACTTTAAACTCAGTTGAAAATTTTAATATTGAAGAAAAATTATTTATTCAGGCAGTAGTGACATGAACATAAATTTTGGTAAAGAATAAAAGCATGGCTCTTAAAAGTAATATTCTTACTAAATGAAAAAATCAATGAACAATAATGTGCTTACAACTGGGTGGAGTGCAGACTTGCCCTTATTCATCCAAGAACTCAGCATTTCAAGTAGAGACTACAGTTGTCAAAACTTATGAGCATTTCTCTTTATTCATATCAACATCTATAAAAGTTTGTGTCAGAGATGATGCAAGGTTTTAAATTAAATTAAATATTTTTATTAAAATGCTTTCACATAAGTATGCTCTCTCTTGTTTTGTGATATTAATTATAGAAATTTTGAAACAATGAAAAGCAGGTTAGATGGTTCAGTGGGTAAATGTGCTTGCCCCCAAGCCTGTTGACCTGAGTTCAGTCCTCCCGGACACCCACATAGTGGACGTGAGAACTAACTTCTACAAACTGTCGTCTAAGTTACGCATGTTCTCTGTAGCATGCATACACATGTGAACACATACAAGCGCATGTGTACACATACATATACAAACACAAATTTAAAATTAAATAAAATTTTAAAAAGAATTGAAAAACTACATTAGAGGTGTCCTAAAAGTATAGAAAATGTTTTACAAACCAGCTTTCCAAATTTTAACCATATTCCCTTTAAAGTAAGTTGAGCTTTTTAATACGATATACAGCAAATAGCATCCTCCCAAATCTTCAACTTCTGAGTCTTCCCACCAATTTTAATGATGCAATCAAAACTTGAAAACAACAAACTAGATAATGGATGCTAAAAGTGTGTTAATTTTTAATTCTGAGAAATCTGTATGTAAGTTTTAAATCTCTTTGTTTTATTTTATTATTTCATGTTTCTGGATGTTTTGTCTGATGAATGTTTGTGCTCAACATGCCTTTCTGGCACCCCTGGAGACCAGAAGAGAGAGTCAGATCCCCTGGAATTGAAGTTATAGGCAGTTGTGAGACACCTTGTGGGTGCTAGGAATTGAACCCATCTTTCCAGACTGAGGTTGTAATGTCTTAACTCATAGAAAGAATTTTCACATGGAGTTTTCATTTTCCATTGAATAAATAAACTATCTACATAGAGATGGAACCGCAAAGGGCTGTCATTTCATGGGAAGTACATTTGTCTAAGCATTCCCATGAAAGCTTCAACACAATTCTTGACGTGTTTTCCTTATAAAAATCTTTCTTGCTATACCTGCCTGTGAGCATAAGGATAAGATTTCAAATGTAGTAAGGGATTATGCTGGTCTAGCAAAGTGATGCTGACAGACTCTTTTCTACGGTCCATGATGTCATTAGTCTCAGGAAGCCACCTAGGTTTCCATCCAGTACCAGACATGATTTCCTCCTGTTCAGCAGGCCTTAAGTCCAATTAGCCAGCTGTTGGTTGCCACCGACATGTGAGTGGTGCTTACTGAAACTTCACAGATGCCTCATGCTGGTCATTGTCATTTTCACTGCAGGTGTACAGGGCTGTTCGATTGCTTACCTCCCTTCACTGTTAACAAGGCTTTTTCTGGAACCATGGGAGCTAGACTGCAGGAAAAGAGGCTTTCAGGTTAGATCCAGCCGAACCAGCTGAGTCTTGTGCCCTAGGTGTGCAGTGTCTTCATCAATAGGGACGTGCCCTCAACCCCTGAGAGGCAATGAAGGACTAACGTGATCATTTATATTGTAGGAGTAACTTGGACTACCCTGACCAACCATTCAAAATTTTTGTTAGCCTATGATCCTTTTGGGGAGTATTATCAGCCAAGTGTTTCAACCTTCTTTAAGATACACATGGGTGTGGGGTAGGTATAATTTTAGCTAAATATAAAATCGTATGATTCCTTGAGACTTAATCAGACAACTTTGATGTGATTTGTCTCTTGCCCCCTGCCCACCCCATCTTCAGGAGATGTATTGACCCTCCTCCCTCCTACCCAGATGGAACCCACTCTCTGTCTTGTATCACCTGTATCCTGTCCCAACTCAATCTATTTTTCTTTTATATTATCCTGGTTTCCGTGGTTACTCCATGGTGTATCCCCACCTCTGAGGATTTGGAGCTAGGAACAGGAGACGGGACAGTGCTTGAGGTGTTTGTCTTTCTGGACTTGGGTTACTTTGTTCAATATAATTTGTTCTAAGTTCATCCATCTACCTGCAAATTTCATGATTTCATTTTTCTTTACATCTGATTAGCAACCCACTGTCTGTGTATACATTTTCATTATTCACTTGTCAGTTGAAGGCATTTAGGTTGTTTCCATTTCCTGGTTATTCTGACTAGGAAATCAATAAGTAAATATGACTGAGCAAGTATCTCTGCAGTGGAATCTCAAGTCCTTTGGGTATAAGCCAAGGAGTGGTGTAGCCGAGTCACAGGGAAGGTTGACTTTGAATGCATCTTTGAGGATTCTCCATACTGATTTCCAGTGTGCTTTCCCAGCAACAGCAAGTGAGGGCTTCTCTTCCTCTGCAGTCTAGTCAATATACTGTCAGTTATTTTGTTGATCTTAGCCATCCTGACTGGGACCAAATGATATCTCATGTTCTTTTAATTTTAATTTCCCTAGTTGCTAGAGATAATGAACAGTTACTGAAGTATTTATTAGTCATTTTTATTTCTTCTGTTGAGAACTCTCTACTTAGATGCCCAGTTCATTTTTCTTTAATTGGGTTGTTTCCTTGACTCTTTGGGTTTTTTTTTAATTCTTTGTATATTTGGGATATTAACCCTCTATCAGATGTAAGTTAGCAAAGATTTTTTTTCATCTTCACTCACTTGATTGTCTCTTTAGCCACACAGAAGCTTCCTAGCTTCCTGCTGTCCCTGCTGTCAATCGTTGGCCTTGATGCCTTGGCAAATGGAGGTCTTTTCAGAAAGTCCTTCCTGTACCTGTACCTCTTAAGATGCTCTTTATGATTTCACTCCTAGTCAAGGACTAGAGGCAACTAATGACTTCTGGGAGTAGACATAGCCTTTTCCAGAGATGAGCACCCTCCCTGGTTGCCCAGTGCAGAGTGGTCAGCTCTAAAACCATAAACACACAAACTAAAAAAACCTCAGAAATTGTACTTGCATGCATATATCCATAACAATATACGTGCACACACATATAGAAATGTATGTAACCATAATAAAGAAACTTGAGAGTGGGAGGGACCCAAGAGGTGTATGAAGGAGGGTATCTGGGAGAGGCTTGAGAGATAAAATGTAGGAAAAAAAGGGGTGTGATTCTGCTTCAATTTAAAAATAAATTCTAGGAAAAATACTTCTTGAAAATAGGACATCCAACTGGGAATTTAAAAAGATAACTAACAACATAAAATTTGGGGCTGAAATTTTATATACTATAAGACAAGAACAATTTGAAATATACATTTCAACAGGTGCTCCAGAAAGTGTTTTCATAACTAGTAAAAACATGATGCACATAAAGCAATTAGTTGGAGGCGTCAGCATCAAATATATTAAACTGAAAATATAACTTTGAAAAAAATTAAAGAAAATGCTATTTTAAAATTAAAATACTTAGGCAATCTTGTAAAATATTCTTCATTAAACTAGTGACACAATGATAAATAAAAGCACATGGTTAGATATTGAGAATAGTTATTATTATGAATGTGTATCTTCTTATTAGTATATATTTATTCTACATAATAGTGTACTTCATCATGGCATTTTCATACGTGTATATAATGCATTTTGATCATGTCCACCCTTTATTTTCATGTTTTGTGATTCAGTAGGTGAGTTTAATTTGGACTGCTTACAGGAACATGGGTTATTTATAGGACATAGCCAACTTAACAGCAGTTACATTACTGTATAAAATAAAATCTCTCTCTCTCTCTCTTATACACACACACACAAACACACACACACACACACACACACACACCTTGCTTCTCTCGCCTCTACAACAACCTTTGGTGCTGTCTATCATCCTCAAGGAGGGGTGGAGCCTCATGAGCCCCTCTCCATCCCCAAGGAAGTACAGATGGGTTTAAGTTGTGCAGACCATGGACAGAGAATCACAAGAACGTTGAATGAGTGGATGCAATGGTCCTGTCGTGCCTAGAACACTGAGTTCCTCGGGCTCCACCCTTTCCTCTGGCTCTTACATTCTTTCTGCACCCCTTTTTTGTAATGCTTACTCAACCTTAGAACAGGCAGCGCAGATGCCTTATTTATGAGGATTCACCAGTTGTTAGGAGTGTCTGAGTAACTGCCATTCACAAAACAAAAAAAAAATCTTCTCTGATCAAAGTCAACAGCACTGATCTGAGGACCTAACCATTAATATAAAGAAGGAAATTTGATGGCAACAAAAAAGTTTAACATTTAAAAAAAAACAATCATTTTTTTAAATTATTTATTTATTTATTAAAAATTTCCACCTCTTCCCTGCCTCCTTTTTCCCTTCCTCTCCCCACCTCCCCCTCCCTCTTTAGTCTTAAGAGCAGTAGGGTTCCCTGCCCCATGGGAAGTCCAAGGTCCTCCCCCCTCCATACAGGTCTATAAAGGTGAGCATCCAAACAAACCAGGCTCCCACAAAGTCAGTCCATGCAGTAGAATAAAAACCCAGTGCCATTGTCCTTGGCTTCTGATGGAGCATGTGATCAAAATGGACAATCATATTTTTTAAGCAAGCTCCTGCTATATACTCCCTGCTGGCCTAGAATTCACTGTATGCCAGGTTGGACTTTAACTTGAAGCAATCCTCCAGTTTTAGTTATAGGCAAACAACACCATGCCTGAATAAATAATCCATCTTGCAATTTCAATTCAAAGAATATGTGTATGTTGTTTTAGTTCTTGAGGAAGAACTTTACAATTGAAACTAATCTTGACTGAAACTATCATATATGTTCCTAACATGATAAAATCTATTTTCTCAAAAAATGAGTTAAAATAATTATTTTGTGACAGTCTTTGACCTCTGAAAGGTAATGAAAAGGTCCCAGTTACTTTAGGCCAGTGGTTCTTCACATCTAAAGCTGTGGCCCTTTAATACAGTTCCTCATGTTGTGGTGATCCCTACCATAAAATTATTACATTGCTACTTCATAATTATAATTAAAAACTAAAAATAACTGTTATGAATCATAATGTAAATATCTGATTGCAACCCCAAGAACCACTACTTTAGGCCAAAGAAACACAAGTAAAAGTGTAAGGAGAGGGCAGTGCTACTTCTAAGCCAATGGGAAGGAAGGGAGCAGAACCCTGGAGACTGAGGCTTCTCAGGAAGATGTCTGAGTTGGAGGGCATTAGCTTGCAGTTGTCTCATAGCAGAGGAACCAGAGGCACAGTTTCTTTCTCTTTTTTTTTCTCCACCTTGGATGCTCTGTTGAGGCTAACTGAACCCAACTGGAAGAAGCAAACAGGAACTCACTGATCAGGACCTGCCCAGGGCAGAAGGTAGGTGAGGGAAGGTAGGGGAAGAATCCTGAGGTGTAGACAGGAGGCATCTGGAACTTGTCTCACCTCCAGGACTGATTTTATGTTGGCCTCATGTTTTTAACTATGAATCCTTGGGTCAAGTTCAATATTTCATAGAGACCAAATACTTAAGGCAAAGGCATTCACTAGCATGGGAGACCTAGAAACCAAATTCTTACTTCATTGAATGTCTACAGACCACTCTCCCCTGTCTCTATATTACAGTGATCTATGCATCTTAAAAAAACAAAGTTAAACTGTTGAACATAAATACCAAGATTTCTCTCATCGTAAGCAGTGTTACACAAAACAACCTCACAATTTTGGTATAAAATATTACTTTCATCAAAATGCTCCTAGGACTAGAAGGACCAGGTTGGGGGTGGGAGGAAGTCATCTTTGCTTCTTTATTCTTCTATCATCCTTCCAAGACACTGTCCATTCACACGCTATTACTTGCAATGCTTGAGAAGGCCCACTTCTTCCACATTCTTCCCAATACTTGATATTGGCTTTATTGCTTTATATTAGCAGGTGTGTGTGTGTGTGTGTGTGTGTGTGTGTGTGTGTGTGTGTGTGTTAGATATAAAAATAATGCCTGGGACTGGGGAGATAGCATGGTTAGTACAGTGTTTGTCATATATGTATGGGGATCTGAGTTCAATCTCCAGTACATACACCAAAATAAATAGATGATAGATAAATGATTGATAGATAGATAAATAGATAGATAGATGATAAATGGATAGATAGATAGATAGATGATAGATAGATAGATAGATAGATAGACAGACAGATAGATAGATAGATGATAGATAGATAGATGATAGGTAGATAGATAGATAGATAGATAGATAGATAGATGGATGGATTGATAAATGATTGTTGATTAATAGATGATAGGTAAATGAT